CCTATTATTATAGATCCTATTATTATATCATTAATTCCTAGAGCACATTCAACACAACAGAGACTAAGCATTCTAACATTAAAAAAAATAATTATTTATCAAATAAAATCCCCTTTTTTCCCCTCGTTAAACCTTATAATAAAACGGATACAGCTGACGTGAAAGTAATTGGCACTTAGGCCGTGAAAATAATTGCCGTGAAAGCTATTAATAGGCTTGCACTGTTTATTTTTTTTTTTAATGATGTACCCAGTAACAACCTGGTTGATCAAGTTTTGATCCACCGCGAAGGCTGGTCACAGACCGGGCCGCGGGAGCATTGACCCCCCGGAACACCCTCCAGGTATACTCTAGTACTGGAGTGTTTATGGCGTGGAGAATGGATTGATGGATTACTTTGAAGTCGGCGAGAGCCGACAGAATTTCCATTGATGACGTGAGAATCGGATTGACGTGATGAAATTGCACAGAGAGAGAGAGAGTCCGTCTGATGTTTTGCAATGTGGCAAGAGACCACCATGTGTCGTTTTATGTAATTGTCGGAGTTTCAAGACTAGTTGGGCAATTATCGTAATGCATATTGTGGAGGTAGTCAGACACGTGAGAGAGAGAGAGAGAGAGAGGAGAGAGAGAGAGAGACCCCCACACACACGCTGAAGAGGCATCATACAGGATAGTCTGCTAATGCTAATAGCTTCGCTGTTGAAGCACCTTAAGAAGAATAGAGAGCTGGAAGAACGATGTCATCTCACAGACATGTTCAGAGCCTCCACCACTCTCCTGTGCACTAGGTGACCCCTGTGTTCAGGGGTCACCTCTACTACTACTACATCTACCTCTTCTGCATATATACCGTCATGCTTCACTCTGTTAGTTGACTTTCAATGGCAAGCGGACCGAAAACGAGTCATCGTAACTTCTCTCTTTTATGGCGGGTTATTTGTGTATCGTTCACGTCACGTATTGTGCTTTTTGTTATTTATTATTTATTTCAGGGTTCTCGAGAACACCTCGTGACGCAAGAACCTATTCGAAACAACCCTAATAACATGAAGAAACTCGTAAAACACTCAGAGTATCACCCCAGAGCATCTTATATATAGTGTGTGTTACTCCGCAGATCAGTTGGTCTGTATCCAAACTTGACATTCCTTAGAGATGAAGATCGCCCAAATGCTTTTCAAAGGGGCTTTTGATAGTAGATGTCACTGATGTCAGCTATGTTGAATAAGTTGTTACATGTACAAAGAAGCCAACCAAGATTCGAGTCCGTAAGACTGAGAATGTATTGAGTATGGTTCAAGGACACCAAGCACAAGGTACTTGAGTCACTTAAATTTATGTATTAGTATCGTAGGGGGTAGCTGAGGAGGCGGTGGGGGGGGGGAAGAAATTGGAAAGAGGGTGTTACGAGAAAGTGGAGTGTGTGTCAGAGGGCCTTGCGCTCTTCTTCCCCATTTGCATGACAAGTTCTGCCTTAGGACAGAAAACGAACCTGGTATACCTCTAACAGATACAGACGATACTCGTTGTACCGAGTGTAACGCTCGGTACAATGGGTATCGTCTCAAAGTCAGAGGAAGATCGTGTGACTTTGTAGACGATATCAGTTACCAGGAAGAGCACCACTTAACCTCTGTTCACCAGCATCTCTGAGGCAGAGTTCTTCGTGATGAACAAAACACTGAACTTCTCGTATATGACAACCAAGTTTTTAGGGAACACTACGAAGTGGGAGATTTTCAGTGGTGTTCTGAGTGTTCGCTGTAAAGTCTGGTGGAGCCCAGGTGCTGGGATGAACAGGTACTTGACTTAATAGATAAGATATGGAACTTAGGGGAAGATCAGGAACTTAGGGAAGATAAGATATGTAACTTAGGGGAAGATCAGGAACTTAGAGAAGATAAGATATGTAACTTAGGGGATCCAGGTGATCTTTACTATCATTTGTACTTCATCTTTGAAGATTGAGACACTTATGGAACATATGGGAGTCTTTATTGAAGAAACGTTTCGCCACACAGTGACTTCATCAGTCCAATACAGAGCAGAAAGTGTAAGGAGAGGAGGAATTTGAGGTAATCGATCCCTCAGCCTGGAGGCGATGTGTTCAGTCAGTATTGGACTGATGAGGCCACTGTGTGGGGAAACGTTTCTCCAGTAAAGATTCCCATATGTTGCATAAGCGTCTCAATCTTCAACTTGTCGGTTTTAAACCATTTATCACTATTATCTTTATTATCATCTCTACTGCCAACTTAACTAACATCTTTATTACCATCTTTACTGCCATCTTTACTGCCATCTTTACCTCTCCACTACTTCTGCTGTCTCCGTATTTAGTTACTTCTCTTTTCGACTGAAGAAGTCTACTGTGTAGGCTGAACGTTTCGGGAGTAAAGATACCTGAATGTTGCACATGTGTCTTAGCCGTCAAATATACACAATGACAATAGCAAGACTGGCACAAGGGAGCTAGTTCACGCCAAGCAGCAACGACTGAGAGACATATATACCTCAGACCAGTCACACGGGTCTGCAACTCCACTCTGAGGGACATAAACACCTCATACCACTCCTTTAATGGGTGGTATGAGGTGTTTATGTCTATCAAAGTGGAGAAAGTGGAGTTTCAGTCTCGTGTGATTGGTTTAAGAGGTGGTATGAGGTATTTATGTTCCTGAGAGTGGAGTTGCAGGACCCGTGTGACTGGTTTAAGGTGTGGTATGAGGTGTTTATGTCCCTCAAAGTGGAGAAAGTGCAACTGCAGTCCAGTGTGACTAGTTTAAACCAGTCACACGGGACTGCAACTCCACTTTGAGAGACATAAACACCACACATCTCAGAGGTACTTTAAACCAGTCACACGAGACTGCAGCTCGACCTACAACCAGTCCAGGAAAGCTGAAGTCACGATAGCTAAGCTATACGATGGTTGTACGAGAGTCGATATCCAGCGTTACACCAATGTGACTCACGAAATCGTAATGACACGATTGCAAACAAACCATACCCCGGCCGGGATTGAACCCGCGGTCAGAGAGTCTCAAAACTCCAGACCGTCGCGTTAGCCACTAGACCAGCTAGCCACAATAAGATTCGTCCAACTAGGTATATTTCTACACCATAGGAAGGTTAGCATAGGCACCACTGTGACCACAAATGCTAGAGTTCGACACGGCCACGTTAGCTGGAGATTCGTCTGTAAAAACTTGCATTTGTGGTCACAGTGGTGCCTGTGCTAACCTTCCTATGGTGTAGAAATATACCTAGTTGGACGAATTTTATTGTGGCTAGCTGGTCTAGTGGCTAACGTGACTGTCTGGAGTTTTGAGACTCTCTGACCGCGGGTTCAATCCCGGCCGGGGTATGGTTTACACCAATGTGATAGCGAGATCATTTCTTTAAATATGTGATGCTGCAGTTCGATCCATCCCTCGCCTCCTCCACCGCTCGAGTTACGAAGAGTGTAGCCAGGGACTGGAGTGGCTACCTCCAGTCAAGGCTGAGGGACTTATCACCTCAAAACTACACAGTCTTACATTGACCTGTATTCGACCCAGGGCACTAAAGATGCCCAGGTGCTGCACATCAGTAGAGACAAGGAGTGAGGGCATACGTAAAGTTTACATTAAGAACAACAACAACAAGAGGAAGGAGAAAGAGATGATGAATCTGGCATTATCTCTCCTTGTGTCTCAGTGTTCGCATACACTCTGTTGACTCAGGCATCGATTTCCTTCACTTAAGTAGACTTTATCGGGATATCGATGGCCAGGAAAAAGATGCAAACCTTTGCAACATTGGCTATTGTTGCTACCATTATTCTCTTGCTAGTCCTACTAGCAAGATTGTCTCAGAAAGGGAGCGTAATATATAGATGTCTCTCATTTGTTTCATATTTCTGTCCACGGGTCTTTTCACTCTTTATGTCTCACTTGTAACTAAACTTTCACCCCAGAAATTACTTTTAGGCAATACGACAGAGGAGTGTGTGTGGGTTGGTGTGAGTTGGACCTGACTAGCTTGTGCTACTAGGTCGGATGCTGTGCTCCTCCCTAAAGTGACGTGTCTGACCTCACTAGGTCAAGGCATTAAGCTGGTGTGAGAATTAGACCTGCCTCGCATAGGCCAGTAGGCCTGTTGCAGTGTTCCTTCTTTCTTATGTTCTTATATTCTTATATATCGTTGTCCCACGAAGCAAGAACCTCCATAATCATACTGTCAGATCAGACTCGATTATATATTACAAAATATTAATCTTTTTTTTTTTTTGGGGGGGGGGGCGAAATGGGTTAGTTTAAAGGGGATATTTAAAAAAAAAACTGAAATGAGTTTAACTCACAAAAAATCGTTTTAATTTAATTGCTAACCTGTGTAAGGTGGGCGGATTAAAACACATGTGGATACTGTGACCTGCTGGGTGACTAGCACCCACACATTGACACATTCCTTCGTGTGTAAGTAACTGTACCTGTTTACTGAGATCTGTCTATTCAAAGTGACTTATACCTCAGCATGAACGTATCAACATTTACTCACTGCACCTCATTAGTACCTACGTAATCGCACCCTACTATCACCTACGTAATCACACCCTACTATCACCTACATAATCGTACCTCACTATCACCTACGTAAGCGCACCCTACTATCACCTACGTAATCGCACCCTACTATCACCTACATAATCGCACCCTACTATCACCTACGTAATCGCACCCTACTATCACCTACGTAATCACACCCTACTATCACCTACATAATCGCACCCTACTATCACCTACGTAATCACACCCTACTATCACCTACGTAATCGCACCCTACTATCACCTACATAATCGCATTCTAATATCACCTACGTAATCACACCCTACTATCACCTACATAATCGCACCCTACTATCACCTACGTAATCACACCCTACTATCACCTACGTAATCGCACCCTACTATCACCTACGTATTCACACCCTACTATCACCTACGTAAGTCACATACCTGAGCATGTAGAGAATCTCTCCCATGGGGTTGATCCTGACCAGGACGTTAGGAACAGTAACAAACTGGAACTCAGCATGCTTGGCGTTCGGGAAGTACACCTCCGGTTTCCAGATACCCTTCACCAGGTTAGGGTCGTTCAGGTCCAGTGGTTGGGAGATGTCTGCGTGGTTGAGTCGCTCGTCTACCCACGACTGACTCAGGTACAGGTCGACTGCATAGTCCTGGGAATAGGAACAAGTGCATTATACTACTTGCATTGTAGCAGAAGTAACCTAGGATAACCCAGAGGGCTAGTAAGGATAACCCTCGCGATAAGTAACCTAGGATAACCCTTGGGAATAGTAACCTAGGATAACCGTGGGGGTTAGTAACCTAGGATGACTCTGACGATTATAAAGGATAACCATGGAGTTAGTAAGGATAACCCAGGGGATTAGTAACCAAGGATAACCCTGGGTATTAGTAACCTAGGATAACCCTGGGGTTAGTAAGAATAACCGTGGGGGTTAGTAACCTAGGATAACCCTGAGGGTTAGTAACCTAGGACAACCCAGGGGATTAGTAACCTATGATAACCCTGGTGTTAGTAAGGATAACCCTGGGGATTAATAACCTAGGACAACCCTGGGGGTTATTAACCAAGGATAACCCTGAGGTTTTTAACCTAGGATAATCCTGGGGGTTATTAACATAGGATAACCCTGAGGGTTATTAACCTAGGATAACCCTGGAGGTTATTAACCTAGGATAACCCTGGGGGTTATTAACCTAGGATAACGCTAGGGGTTAGTAAGCCAGGATAACCATGGGGGTCAGTAAGTTAGGATAACCCTGGGGGCTAGTAAGCTAGGATAACCCAGGGAGTTAGTAAGCTAGGATAACCATGGGGGTCAGTAAGTTAGGATAACCCTGGGGGTTAGTAAGCTAGGATAACCCAGGGAGTTAGTAAGCTAGGATAACCCTGGGGGTTAGTAAGCTAGCATAAACCTGGTGGTTATTAAGTTAGGATAACCCTGGGGGTTAGTAAGCTAGGATAACCCTGGGAGTTAGTAAGCTAGGATAACCCTGGGGTTAGTAAGCTAGGATAACCCTGGGAGTTAGTAAGCTAGGATAACCCTGGGGGTTAGTAAGCTAGGATAACCCTGAAAGTTAGTAAGCTAGGATAACCCTGGGGGTTAGTAAGCTAGGATAACCCTGGTAAATTAGTAAGCTAAAGGTAACCCTGGGAGTTAGTAAAACTGGATAACCCTAGGAGTTAGTAAGCTAGGATAACCCTGGGGGTTAGCAAGCTAGGATAACCCTGGGGGTTAGTAAGCTAGGATAACCCTGGGGGTTAGTAAGCTAGGATAACCCTGGGGGTTAGTAAGCCAGGATAACCCTGGGGGTTAGTAAGCTAGGATAATGCTTTACACTGCAGAGGTGCCAGTCAGTGTTGTGACTCTATATACAGCACTCAGTACCTTAAGAAATCTCTAGCTCTTGGCGTTTTTAAGAAGAGGGTATAGGTAGGCCTGTCACTCCCATAGCAGCCAGTAGTGGTGTACTGATGCTTGGCTTCATAACAAGAGTGGTACATATATTTTATTAAGATTAATGTTGGCAGAGTGGAGGGAGACTCCATGGAGGAAGGTATGAGAGACTCCATGGAGGAAGGTATGGGAGACTCCATGGAGGAAGGTATGGGAGACTCCATGGAGGAAGGTATGGGAGACTCCATGAAGGAAGGTATGGGGGACTTTCCAGGAGGAAGGAATGGAGACTCCATGGAGGAAGGTATGGGAGACTCCATGGAGGAAGGTATGGGAGACTCCATGGAGGAAGGTATGGGAGACTCAATGGAGGAAGGTATGAGAGACTTCATGGAGGAACGCAGAGGAGACTTCATGAAGGAAGGTATGGGAGACTCCATGGAGGAAGGTATGGGACACTCCATGGAGGAAGGTATGGGAGACTCCATGGGAAGGTATGAGAGACTTCATGGAGGAAGGCAGAGGAGACTTCATGAAGGAAGGTATGGGGGACTCCATTTGGGGGAAGGAAAGGGAGGACTCCATTAGGAAGGTATGGGAGACTCCATGGAGGAAGGTATGGGAGACTCCCTGGAGGAAGATATGGGAAAGAAGGTATGGGAGACTCCATGGAGGAAGGTATTGGGAGACTCCATGGAGGAAGGTATGGTAGACCCATGGAGGAAGGTATGGGAGACTCCATGGAGGAAGGTATGGGAGACTCCATGGAGGAAGGTATGGGAGACTCCATGGAGGAAGGTATGGGAGACTCCATGGAGGAGGTTGGGAGACTCCATGGAGGAAGGTTTGGGAGACTCCATGGAGGAAGGTATGGTAGACACCATGGAGGAAGGTATGGGAGACTCCATGGAGGAAGGTTTGGGAGACTCCATGGAGGAAGGTATGGGAGACTCCATGGAGGAAGGTATGGTAGACACCATGGAGGAAGGTATGGGAGACTCCATGGAGGAAGGTTTGGGAGACTCCAT